ATAAACCCTATCAGGTCGACCTCTACACGGTTTTCCTTAAAAACCGTCGTGGTAATTCTTGTAGAATGCATCATGATGGAAAAATTGACTGATTTTCATTCTTCTATCCATCCTCTTCCATTTTCACCCCACCACTGTCGTAAATTTGAAATTTAGAATAGTTTTACATATCGTTATCGATATATTTGAAAAATATTTTTATTTTCTTTGCTAATGGGTCCAAATGGGGTACATAAAATTTCAAACTTCAACTACTAGTCTAATTGGGATATCGAATGAAAAGGCTTCATTTGTACATTTTAAAACTGATTTTTATTTATTTTTATGTTGCTTAATTTTTTATTTATGATCAAAAATATGAGTAAAACAACCCTTAACCCCACGGTTTCTAAAACGAAAAATATGTATTAACTGCAGTTTATAAAAGTATCACTGTGTGAAGTGTACGTATCTAACAGCGTTTCTGAGAAATGAGCAAAAAACCTCCACAAACAAACTTAGTTATACGATCCAAATTTTAAGCACAATTATGGCCCAAAATAAGAAACTACGAATTGAAGTATCAATGCTAATAGTAATTAGGTGTCTATTTTGTATGAAAAATGTAATAAAGGTCATTTTGTCATGTTTATATATTTATGTATAGAATCTTCGGTGCGTGAGTTCAAATCGTATCTGACCGGTTTTTACTTAGTAAATATGACTTATAAGCACCTAATTGCATCAGAGACTTACATTTATATTTTACTTCATATAAATTATTTAATATTTTTCTGGAGAAAATGCAGAAAAACTGTTTATCTCGTTGTTCTGCTTGTTTTGTTTTCTCTGAAGTGAATCATTTTTAATATTTACCATATATCTGTGCGTGTCTGTGTGTCCTTACTAATATTATAAATGTAAAATTAAGTTTGTTAGTTAGCTTTTGGTGCTTTAACGACTTAAGCAAACATTATGAAATTTCATACCCAAGTACTACAAAGGATAGAGAAGGGTATAGGATTTTATTCCGGTCAGTGATCATGTTCCGGTCACTTGGACGGAGTCACAGGTAAAAAATAGTTAATAAATCTAGTATAACCATAACCTATAAGCATCCCACTATTGGGCATGTACGGGTCTTTTTCCATAAAAATAGGATATCGTCTACTGTCACTACCTGACCAAATAGCTTGATCTATATCAGGTTAAGTTAAAACCTATCATAGTACGTTTTATACCTAGTTAAGGTTTATTTAAAATTTTCCTTCTCTTGTTAATATAAAAGAATAAATAAAATAAATACTTAAGAATATTGACATTTATTATCTTAGTTGCCTTTTGCGTGTATCATTTAAAAATAATGTCGACAAATAACCTGTATTCCATGGGGGACTTGGGGACATCTACACGCCATAGATAATGATGATTGATATTGAATTGATGTTCCCTATGATTATTTGTGTGTAATATTGTAAGAAGAGCTCTATTTGCTTCCAGATAAAAACTGCTTATCAACCAGTACATCCTATTAGGCGTTATACTGGGGGGAGAGATTGTTAGTAATGGAGACTAAGGGTCCCATTGTTAGCAATATACACTATTAGGTCGACCTCCACGTGGTTCCCCCTAGAAATCATCGTGATTAATTCTAGTGTTAGTAGAATTTGTCACAATGAGCTAACTGACCTGCTTTCACCGTCACCTATCATCCTTCACTGGTACCCCGCCAGCGTGTACCGATAGCGCAGGCGGACTTACCATTCCATTATCACCCATTAAAAAAATAGACGTTATATTGGGGGAGGGGATTGTTAGGAATGGTGTCTAAACTCCCCATTGCTAGCAATTAGCCTTTTAGGTCAATCTCCATACAGTCCTAAAAACTATTGTAGTTAATTATTTTATTAGTCACTATAGGCTAACTGATCTGCTTTCATCTCTCATTGGTGCCCCGCCAGCGTATACCGATAGCGCAGGTGGAGATACCATTTCATCGTTACCCATTAAAAAAAATCAACATTACGTTGAGGGAAAGGGATTATTAGTAATGGGGTCCCATTTCTAGCAATAACAGGGTGACCTCGACGCGGTTCCTCCTGGAAACCATTGTAGTTAATTTATGTGGTATTCCTCATGATGGGCTAACTGTCCTACTTTCATCCTTACCCTTTACTGGTACCTTGCCAGCGTATATCGATAGTGTAGGCAGACTTACCATTCCATCTCATCCAAACTTTTAATTTTTTAAAACAATAAAGTCCGTGTTACTCGCTAATAATGTACCTTTCTGTAGGTAAAAGACTTTTTCATATTGAATAAATATTTTTGTATTTATAATGGATATAAATTTATAATAGATAAACAAACAATAAATCAATTTTTTCCTGTATAATATCTGTTTATATTTAGTTTAAAACCAATCACTACTTTTGGGATTTATCATATTTAAAGTAAATTCAGAATTAGGATTTTACTGGGTTTCCTGTATAATTTTATTCATGTTATTTAGGACTTATTGGTGGTTAACCATCGTTATGTCCCATCCCAAAGTCAGAAACAATTTTTTTTTATATTTTTCATTATGAATCAATTAAGTTATATGAAAAATAAACTTTTGAAATATGTATACAAATTAGGCCCTCTTTGACAGAAGTCGAAGAGGCATATTTGCAAGGCAAGACAGGCAAACATGCAAACCTACAGGAGCATCACTGTATGTTTTTTTTTTCATCTTTTTGTACGGAACCCTATAACCCTACTATCCCTCTATTGCAACTTGATATATCAACTTAGACAACAATATTTCAAATGAGCTTGATATAATTATATATTAATATGCAAATGCTATTAAACATATTTAATTGTATATTAAATAACTATTTAACATCTGATTGAACTTAATTCTTTACCAGTAGCATAAAAAAATAAGTATCGATACTTTATGCAGTTATAGGAATATTTTGTAATAAGTACTTTAAATAATACCAGATAAATTTTAATGCCAGAAAGGTAAATAAGAAAATTCCTTAGGGAATTCATTGCTTTATTACTTGTAGATTTATGTACTTGATACCAATAATAATATTATTTAACTATCTTTTAATTTTACTATGTAATATTTATATTTTAAGGATATTAGTTATAAAATAACAAATATAATAATTACCATGGGAATAATAGAATAAATGCTGCGATATATTTTATCACCTCACTGTAACTGCCACTTGCACAAAACACTTTTTTGATGATCAGAAACAAATATTTTACTATCACTCGAGGTTCAGGATGTGCAAAAAAAGTTCCTTCCATGAGGAAGTGCGCGGCGAGGTTTGAACTGGACTGGTTCCTCTAACGAGCTCTGCGGCCCGCGCATGCGCCATCCAGCCCGGGGCGTGACCTAGACCCTGAAAACACCACCCTCTTGCCTACGCAAAGCTCGTTTCCATGACAACCACCTCAAATTGCATCCAAAAAAACAAGCGAATTTATAATAAATGGACATTTCTTTTATGTCTAACATAAATACAGTCATAAGTTACGCTGTTGATGATAACGAGCAATGTGCTTTCAGTCATAATTCAAGAAAAATTTATATTGCATAATCTACGTCACGCGGAAGCGCAATCATAAAAGTGGAGCGGCTAGTACTTGCTCCACCCAATCAACGGTGTAGCTTGCACGGCATTGGTCTTCCCGGTGAATGGAATGAGGACTCCTGGCCTTCCGGGCGAAACATTATTGATGACAAACAACATCGACCTAGGTTTGGAACCTATTAAGTTGTCATTGCTTAAGCACACTTATTGAGTCACCTTCCTCGGTGGAGCCAAATTTCACGTTCATTATCATTGTTAGATGCCTATTAGTGAGAATGGCAAACAAGCAGGTAGTTCATCTGATTGAAAACGGTAACCTGTACCATGGCGTGAATTTACAGGGTACAGAGGAATAACATCTGAGGAATGGCAACGCATGGGGGGTATCATGGGCGAAACAATATACTCTGTTAGGTCCACGGTACTCCTTGTCTATAGGCGACGGTTACCACTTTCCATCAGGTGGGCCGTCAGCTTGTTTGCCATTCTAAGTTGTATAGAACTTTCACATAGACATGAACAATGGACATAAAAATATGACTGCTCCGCCCATATTTACTCTATGTATAGGCTGTCTTATGCTGAGGCTGCCTATGAACACAATTTGATAGGGTTAGAGAGCCTGTCTAACTTACCCATCATGGATGGGGAAAATTATTGGTAATGGGGACTAATAGCCTTATTGCTATCATGATTGATATTTGGTGACATCGTTATGATGGGCAACCTGACCTGACGTCATCATCTATCATCCTTCACTGTTACTCTACCAGCGTAAACCAACAACGCCAAAGTCTGCGTTATTTATAGTTAGATAGTTATGCAATATAAATGGTTACAAGTTCATTTTAATTAGTAAAAAATTGACATTTATACGTATTTAAGATAGATTGATTTTGTGTAAAAAGGGATCGACTCAACCCGTCGGAAGTTATGACGTTCGAAGGCAGCTTAGCGTGTCCCTTACGTCAGAAATTTTCGGATCAAATTAGAATTCGAATGGATGTCAGTACTAATTGATCTCAATTCGATTACATCATCCTGGTGATTTATTTATTAATATATAGAGGTATAGTAATAGCTTGCAGTTGTCTTAAATATGCACATGTAAGCCGTAATATTAAAGTATTTTCAATACATTTTATAATTGGAAATGCGTTGTACCCTAATTGGTAACCCTCCTTTTTACAAATTTTATATCCTTATCTGTATGTTATATATTAATGATAAATATTATTTCACTAAAATATCTTAGGTACACTGAAACATAACTAAAATTTTCAAGATTGAAAATATCTAAGGGTCCATATCGGAAACAGGGTATAATTTTACTATGAACATATGAGTTACTTAAGCATCACCTAATGGAAATGAAGAAAGCGAGGTAAGTTGATAAGAGGCCATAGAAATTAAAGACACGAGTATAAATATTAAGTGGTTTAATAAAATTTCTTCAATATAAGAATATGTCCGATTCCATCTATATAATACAAAGCATTTCAAAAAGGGAAAATACCTACATATAAAATACAACCTTCTGTACCTTCACAATGGATTCTCGTCCTGCGTTCCTCATTCGCGTCCAACTTGTAGAATTCGCTTTAAAAGAATAGGAATATCCACATACGTTCACCTTGTCAAACCGCAATTTTGTACAATAGACGACCTCCCATACAACTCTTACGCACAACATTCAGACCAGTGCATCCATTTCATTTCAGAGATTACCACCTAAAAATACCGCATGTTAAAGCTTTAGTACAGGCCAGCGAATACCAATGACTGTTTGGGTGGTCTTCGATTGTAAATTATACACATCACAATAAAGTCTTAACGCGGAACATTTTTTAAAGATGAATACTTAATGTATAGTACATATATTATTTGTGCTACTGACATAAAGAGAGTATATAGTGCGTCGATTATACACACCGATTCTGTTCAACCGTTTATTACATGATAAACGTTATTGTTATTCATCAACTTTACTACTTTGTAAAAAAAAAAACTATAAAAAATATTTAGAAATGCACATACTCGTAGTATGTGGTACGCGTTACATTGCCTCGCATGCGGTATCTATAGATGTCAATCAGAGTTCCACCTCGAATCAGTTCATCGTGGATTTATATCATTGGAACTACTGGAATTAATAATAAAATTCGATATACGTCATCTACAATAGAAGCACCGTGGAGAAACAGATATTGCCCTACGTAAAGACACATTTAATTACAAACGAGATCGTTTATTGCACTATAATCAGTAATAATATTACGTAAACACTTGGCGTTGATGTTAATGTTATTAAATTTATTTACACGCATTACATTTTTGTAAATAATTCATAATGAATATGTACAGATGACTCTTTATATAAAGCATCAGAACCACAATTTCGAGATATCAGTCACAAACAAAAACTAACGTTGGGTCCAAATATCAAGATACCTAAGGTTGGCAACAACATTAAATAAATAAAATGTGTATAATACTATATGTACAATGTGACTCTCATTATAGAAATCCGTTCATTATATTTTCTAACTAATATTTCGAGATACTAAACATGGCGGTACTAATTCTTTTTATAATATGGCTCATGATATCATGCTAGGTATACAGGTTACAAAACTGTAAAATAGAGAACCTCTGTGATGACGCCGTTTGGTTTGCGGTTAGATGGAATAGACAAAAAAGCTAGTGTAACTACACCATTGTATAAGCAGAGTACAAACTAGTAGAGAGGTTGTGTTAGACATAAACGAAAACTTATAACAATAAATTTTGATGGTAACACTCGATTGTATAAGACACGATTTTCATTATTTTATTGAAAAAAAAAAAAAGTATTTTGAATAAGAACACCGTCATTATTTTAAGAGTCGACCGTTCTACTATTCAACTCTGCGATCGATCAAAAGCTAATGAACTCTGGGCATATTTAGAGTATCTGGAAAAGTTTCTTGAGTTCCACCATCAGCTGCCAATCCGTCTTGATGAGGTCGTCACGGAAGTAGTCCTTGCACGCGTCGATACTCGCGCGTGAGATCTGCATCAAATTAACAAATAAATTACATACATAGACTTACAATCTATTTCAATATAATCTAACAGAAATGTAAACAAACGCGTAATTAAATCTAACCATAGACAAGATTAGTGATGTGATAACCAAAGGCAGTATCGATCTAAAATCAAATAGTGTTACAAATTTCATTTAGTATTCAAATTTCATTTCATTTACTTAGAGTAACAAACTTAATTTTATATTAGATTTTGTACAGCAAACTGAAACGTTAATCATAAAATACATTGTATATAAATTTACCATTAAAAACTTTGCAGATATTTCATATTCGTATTTTGTTTCCAAATTCTTAAATAGATTTCTGATAATCAAAATTTTTAATTACAACTTAAAAAAATGAATAACGTTTTATTCCGCTAGTAGAGCGCTTTTTAAATAATCAACTAGAAACATTGAACGCTGTTAAAATGTTTTATAAAAATTTACAGATAAATGCGATGTCACAGTTTCGTCAGCAAAAATTATCAAAGGGTATGTTGACAAGTGGAATCTTAACATAAGATGTATTTTTTTATACTACTATGGTAACAAACAAGCATAAAACCTGTCTGATGGTAAACTAGGGTACCGTAGCCTGTTATGGACGCCTGTAAAACCAGGGATGTCACGCGTGCGTTGCCGATCCTTAAGAAACTTTAATACGCGCTTTTTTAAGAACCCCATGCTGTAGTTTCTAGGGAAAACCTCGGCAGGAATTTCATTCAATAACTTGAGTATTCGGGGGAAAAAGCTTAAAAAAAAACTTAGGCCTCAAGAGCATCTGCGCATGAGGACTGCGATAGGCAATATAACATAATATTATCATACCGTCAAATCGCGTCTTTTAACTTCTTAATAGTTTAGCACTTAATAGTGGGTTAATACATTATTATAATTTTTATTACCTAGCTATTTTTTAATAATTTGGATTCATTTCCAACAGAAATAAAATTTAGGTATATAATAGGTAAGTACATAACAATAAAAATAAAATAAGAAATGTTTAAAAAACCGAATGCAATCGTCTATTTTCTTTTCCATTTACAATAAGAATGATAATATTGTTATTTCTGGTAACACATAAGAGGCATGTGGTAAATTTATAAATGTTGCTGCAGTAATGTAACCAACAAATTTATTACGTTTACGTATAATCCAAGCAACGACCGCATTTGTCATTTAGAAACGTGTAGTATAAATAAATACTACACGCCGTGCCTACACAAACGATTTTACCTAAAAATTGTATAAAAAAAAAAGATATACACAGCTTAATCTAAAAATATTTTGGATGTGTCACATGTAGATATTATGTCTGTATCTGTAAATAAATACGAAGCATGCGAAATTTCCATTTAGCTGAATCATTATTTTTATAAATAAAACATATATAAATGTAGTAAAAATTGTAAAGTTGCTGCTATGAACCAACCAAAGAATCTACTACATGGGTGGCGAAATTTAATTGCAGCCTACCGAGACATCCGCAAAAACTGGTTCCGGAGGCTGGGAAGCCAAAAATAGCAACTCGCGTTGAATGTACAATTGGTTCATTCAGGTCGACCCACTTTGGGACGCATCGATTCAGCACTTGGAGGTGAATGGGGGTATGACGTCATAGAGAAAATAGAACAGGTTGTGCAAGCAAGAAATTGGGTCAGAAGCACCCCTCGCGCCGCTGCGACCTAGCTGCAGCGGGCCTACTCCGGGGCCTTCGCTAGCGACATCGGACCGAGCTCAAGAATCATATTACAGTGTGGAATATCGGATTATCTATTTTTAGAACATCGAAGGCTGTACAATTTGCAGGTATAAATAAAATTAATAAAGAAATCGTAAAGAGACTTTATATTGAAAATATACTGCATTTTAATATTTGCTAAAATAAAAAGAAATTGGTATAGGGACATGAGTTAATAGAATAAGATTTTTTTATTTGGCTATTTTTTGCAAAAATAAAAACTAATTATTTCTTAAATACATACTAATTGATAGTTTCTTAACACAAATGTAAATAATTTAATTAATTAAAACAATCGGGGTATGATGTGATGACGTCGTAAGTCCTGACTATATGGGTATAAAACACAATATACTTACTATCTGTAACATTTGGTTAAATCATTTCCGTAAAAGTATGTTAATTGACGTTACAGTGTAAACATAATTAAATACTGACGTGGGTATAGGTATTAAAACCATTTAAAGAGTAGATGTATATTGCAATATCGTGCCCTACAACATAATGTATGAATAAACACTTCATCAATGAAACCGCACTGCGAAATATCAATGGATCACCTAGAATGGACTTGACCCGGTCATTGAGTATGTGTGCATGCGGCGACACGCGGCGGTTGCGCATGTGTACTCCTTGCTTTTTTTGCCCATAACATAGCAATCCCACCCTTAAATACTTAACATATGTGGAACAATAAAAAAAAAAATAGCCTGCGAAAACTTAAATGATAGAGTCTTATGAATATTAAGTAATTTTCTTATATATTTAGCAATGATGACTACAAGGACGTCGAAAAGCAGCCATCAATCATAGCCGCCCACATCGTAAACTTAGTGAACGCACGAAATGAATCGATTATCTCATTATTAAAGCTGATATATAAGTACTGGTGCTAGTAAGAGACGTTTAGAAGCCAACGCTACCGGGCACGATCTATTGAAACTGGCTGCTCAAGCGAAGCCAGAGACATCCGTAACGTTTGATTTGACCTCAACACTAGATACAGGAAAGAAATAACTGGTTCACTCTCTCCGAATATTATGATAAATTAAATTAATTTGGGATACTACAATCACAGACATAGTATGAGATCGACGACGCAATTTGTACAAACTGAACGTGATTTTTAGTAATGGGGATCTTACCCTTTTGCTAGCAATATACCATATCAGGCCGTGCTCCACGCGGCTCCTGCAGGAAACCATTTTGACTAATTGTTTATGAATTCGGCTGAATTGACTTTTGGCCAACTGACTTGTTTCATCTTTACTTATCCCTCACTGGTGCCCCGCTAGCATGTACTAAGCGCAGGTGGAGTAACCATTCTACTATCACTAATTAAAAAAAATCTAAACGTGTCAATGCTGCTATATTTTATTTATCGTCGTGTTATTCGTTATTGTTACAAAAGCATTCATTAATAGTAAATCTGCGCCAAATACTTTTGAAAGAGCCATCAGTAATGCTGCTGTCGTCAACGTAAAACAAACGCGGCTCAAAATTTCGCCGGAGTAGAAGTAGGCTCTTATGAACTTACTTAGAGCAAAACATTGGCGTACAAAGCAGTAATGTAATGTCTATTTAGATTAATATCTGAGATTGCAGTAGAGACGTGCGTAAAACGAGTTTGCGAATAGGAATTGGAATTACTAAAGCGGGAGCTTCCTGGAAAATTAATAGTGTACGAAACTTTGGTTATTAATCACGTGTCCGAAAAGTAAATGGATAATAAAACTCTTTTGGAAGTGAATGTGGACACGATCAAACTGTGAACAAACACTCACCTAACGCATGGAAAGCTGTGACGTCATGAGCCAAAAATACTGCGGCCTTCGCAACGGTGACGGAGAACATCCGAGTTCAATCGGCTTTTATGTTGTTCAACGAGAACATTACATATACGTTATTAAGAAAAACATCGGAAACGAGACAAGGGCAAGTGTGTGTGTAAAGAAATGCACTGAGATAAGTGCCCATAAAAGATATAAAGGAACTTGGCGGTTTATAAATGAAATCCATGTCACTGTTTGGATTATCAAACTATCATTCAATAAAATGTTGGTGGATTTTTAGTGTATTACATAATATTCTAAACCGATTTTGATGGTTTTTATCAGTACGATAAAACACCATATGACTTGTCAGCCGTTATCTATCTACTGCTGAATATGGGCCTCCCCCATTAAGGGGGTTTTACTAGTTGTTGCCACACTTGGCAGACGGGTTGGAAACTGCAGTTAGTCTTTGGTGATATTTCAAGAGGGACACTGATTATACCTCAAGTACAAATAAGTTTACTAATTCCTATATAAGCCATGCCGAAAAATTATGAAATCAGCTATCCCATGATAAGTTCTCTGTATTCTATAATCTAGAATCCTTCAAACGTAGCGTGAAAAAGCACATAGTAAACGAGCATCAAGCGCTAACAGTTGAGAAAAGAACATCCTGCTTTCGGTTGATCGCATTTATGGATTACACTGCCCGTACACAGGATTACTTGGTCATACATAAATATATAATAATAATTTTTATTTTCCACCACAATGGGCGTATAAATTGGGTAATAAGCTGTCTTAGATATATCGCCAGCTTATATATTAAATAATATAATAAAATACACGTTTTTATTTGAAGTATTATGTTTGAAAACTTCACGTATAACATTATTTTATATGTAGGTAAATATAAAAGTATTAAAAATCGGGATTTCCGATTCCAGTACGGGCTGGTATTGAAAATCCCGGTTCTACGAAATAGACTGGTTCATTAACCCTTCCTTGCATAATGGTGGAAATTTCCATCATAACATTGAATTCCCAAAAATTATATAAAAGACCAAGTTCACTTTAAGTTGATCGTGTCTGGATACCTTTTTAATGTCCGTTGCAAAAATCAAAAAATAGCTGTCAAATTTATTTTTTAACCATTTTTCCTTTAATTTTGAACACGAATTATATCGCCTTGATTTATTTCACCAATAAAAAACCATGCAAAGAAGGGTTAATTCTTAACATTAAATACAGCGATGGACAATCGTAGAAATTAACGTCTACTGGGTTTCAAGACAGTTGGTGTATCAATATTAGTTAAATTCACACATCCTAATAATTGAGTAATAGACGTACAATCATAAAAAAACTATTTATAATATTAGTGATAACAGTAATTCAATGATTATAACAAACTCCCAATACTATATTTATATTTATCCTTAGCAGATATATCGAAAACAAACATA